GGGGGGGGGAAAGAAAACAAGAAGTACGATTTTTTTTTCTTCAAATTATGACCTAAAAATTGTATTATTTAAAAGTACGGGAAAATTTAAAATAATATTTATTTTACCATTTAAAATTTCGTTTTTAAAATGTTATTCAATTAAAAATATTTGCAGAGACTCAAAATATTGACAGAAATCCTATATTTGTTTTTTCTAGATGTCTTAAATTGTCAAAATATTTGAGCTTTTTTTGAGCAATCTTTGTAGATATAGACGTTATAATTTTTGCCGGTTTTTTTACGTAATTTTTATTTGACAGGTACTTGGTGAATTATGTTAATAGACTAATAGAAATGCTTGGAAATTTGACAGAGATTCATTTAAATTCGTACTAAGTTTTTAGAAAAAATAAAAAAAAAATTGGTGTAAAATAGTAATTAATTTTTATTTATAAGAGTTAATATACAATTTTAACAAACATCGTTAATTTTATGGCCTTTTAAAACATTTATAACAGAACTTCGTTTCGAAACATTTTTCTTTATCAATAGTTTACTGTTGCCTACGAGCATAAATTAAATTATTTTATGTACTCTACCTTTTCAATCATCTACCTTCAACATTGTCTGCACCCGTGTCCTCAGTATTAGTTCTTTTATAGTATAGTATAGTATTTTATTATTATTATTATCTTAAGGTTAAGCAAATACGATACGGTACATTAATATTCCATACGCACTTTTTTCAATTTTGTGATTGCATACGAAATACTTCCTGTATTAGCCCTTATTCAATTTATTTTTTAAAAACATAATTTATATTAATAATTTATATATTTACCGTATGCTGTGTGGACAAATACTGTAGTAAGAATTAAAGAAATTATAATTGTACGTTTCATTGTAAATGTATAAATGTTTCGTAGGTACTTTACAAATTATAAAATGAACGATTTGTGAAAAAAGAATAATGTGAACACTCTTTTATAGCGGTATATAAAAAATTTAAAAACTTGTGTAAATAATGAATTGTTCATTTAAAATATTGTCCTTAATATACTAAACAAATAAAGCACACTATAAAAATATGTTTTGTCTGATATTAAAGATAATTACACAATGTGATTTATCACTTCGGAAAATGTTTAAACTAGATACCAAAA